TCTATATGTATGTATGTATATATATATATATACACATGTATTATGTAATTTTCCGGGGAATCGACGATTGGTTGTGTTTGTGATTATTTTTCTCTCCTGAGCATGGAAGGGGGGGGGCTGCGGGGAGGAGCCGGCGGTGTGCGTCTGCGACCACCCAGCCCCTTCCAAATCTACGAGCCAGGGCTGGGAGGCAACTTCTGGGAGGTCTTCGGGAGAGCGATTATGATTAGGGTCTGTTAGGGCCCTGGGTGTGCTGACACAAACGCCTTACTCGTCGAGACATCCTCGCAACTTGCTCTGAAAGCAAAGGGCGCGAAACGAGTGATTCGCTCGAGACACCCCCATAACATGGACCCGAACGGGCGGGTGTCCCCGATGTTTGTCTTGTCTTTGACGCGGTTTAGATTCAAGCGCGAAGTCCCAGCAGCACAGGACCACACGAGGACCCGAAGAAGACGAACGAGCGAGGGCCAGAGGGAACGCAAAACGGCGGAAGGACAGCGACGGAGCGAAGCACTGAAGCCCGAAACCCGCAGGGACAGCCAGGCAACGCACATTCAGGCAGATACAGGCTCTTGCTCTGAGAGACCTTGGTCCTGCGGCGGCCAGTATCGGCGGCGCGCGCGCGAAGGGGGGAAGTGAGAATAATAATAAGAAGAAAGCTCTTTCAGAAGAAGCCGGGACTTCCATGAAGCCCTCGCGCCTTCTGAGAGTTTTCGTTGTGTGTCTTCGGGGAAGGCTTAGAGAACTTATCAGAACGTCGGAGGACCTCTCAGAAGGCGCGAAGGATTCTGAGAAGCCCCGCCGCCTTCTGAGAAGGCCTTCTCCTTCTCACTTCTCCCCCCTCGCTCGCCGCCGACAATAAGCCCCCGCGGCCTCCCTGTGGAATGTGAGCGAATACGGGTGATTCTGAATGGGACTGAACAGACTGCGTGGGCCGCGTGTTACGGCTGCGCAGGAGGCCAGCAAGATAGCGACCGTGGCGGTGGCGGGATGGCTTCGTATATTCTCGGCGACGCCCCCGCCCTGCTCGTCGGCGACCTGAACTGCCGACTTGCTGAAGCTGGGCTGGACGGGCTGCTGGCCATGGCGGGCTGGCGCGACTTGCTCGGGACTGCTGGGCCCTCTGCATCCCCTCGCAAGGCGAGCCGTCGCGCATCGACTACGCGATCGCGAATGAATCCGCCGCGGGGACGGTCACCCAGGTCGGCTTCCGGTGGGACCTCAGCTTGGTGATGCGCGCGGCGTTGCTGGTGACGATCCGGGTCGGGCGGCCGGAGCTGGCCCTCCTCCGTCAGCCGGTCGTTAATTGAGCAGGGACCGACCGTCCCGGCATTCCTATTGTCCTACTACGAAATGCTCTGAGAACCCAAAAATGCTCTAAGAACAAAAACAATCGTCTTAGAACATTAACCCGATGTGGTAGACCAAGACAGTCCCAGCCAGAAATGTTCTAAGAACAGAAGGTTCTGAGAACATTGTTTGATTGGGATATAGGCGAGCCAGGACGCTTCGCCACTGCTTGAGTTAAGCTGGATGGGCAGGCGCGTGCCGCCTGGTCGGCAGCCTCGGCGCGCGACGTCACGACAGCAGCTCGTTGCGGGCGGCCACTGCGCGGTCAAAGCCTGGGCGCAGCTTGTCCAGGCCTTGCGGACATGGTTGGCTACGCGGGTGGGCGCCGCGGCCGGTGCCGCGGCCGAGGGCCACACCACCGCCTGCGGCGACGGGGATGCCGCCGATGCTGCTGCGGAGGCAGCCCTGCTGAGACTCCAGAGGCCGCTGTCGCTACAGAGCAGGCGCCGGCGCTCTTCGGCAGCAGCCAGTCTGGCTGCGACGGGCGCGCTTCAGGCTTTGCGGACGTCCGCCGCTGGCGATGCGGTCTGGGGGCTTGCCCTGGAGGCCATTATTGTGCTGTCGGGGCCGCTCGCGGACGCGCTGATCATGCGGGCCAAGGGGCTCGGGGGCATGGGCAAGCGGCGCCCGCCCCCTCCGCATGTCGAGGCAAAATTCCTGCAGTCTGCCAGGGATACACCCGCGCCTGATCCCTCCAATTGCTGCCGGCACCAGGCGCTGCCCTGAGCGGTCGCCAGCGCTGTGTTCCAGGCAATCAGGCACAGGCACCTACACCGCTTGCATCTGTGGGAGAAGCTGTCCTGGGCCTCTCACCATCTGGCGTGACCCGGCAGGCCGTTGGCACGGAACATGATTACGTGGCAGACAGCTGCAAAGCATCTGGCGCAGGCCAGCAGCTGCCACTCCAGATCGTGGCCTTGCAACGTAAAAGTGATTATTGCCCCGGCCACTTCATCCAGTAACTCATCACGCTCGCTGGCATCAGGACCTGGGAGTCCAACCACCCTGGTAGCTGGTGGCGCCTGGTACCTCTGGGCTACCCTGACCGTCACATTTTTTCAATCTGGCTTTGAACGCGATGTTGACTGGGCAATGCGGGTCTACTGGTACATCTGTCATGACCTTGACATGGTGGGTCATCCGGTCCAGGGATTTGCGGATCATGAAATAGTATGTGCTGGATTCGTGCTTGTCCACGACGTAAGATGAGACTCCAGGAAAAAATCAGAGTGAGGGGGCCGAACGGTCATTCATTGCCCTGGGTGCGTGGCTGAAGTGCGGATCAGTGGTGAGGATTCTGCATTTTGTTGTTGTTGTTGTCGTCGTCCCCCCCGCGACCTGGCCCGCGACCCACCTGCGACCCACATCGCGACCCACCCGCGACCCACCCCTCGACCCAACCGCGACCCACCCGCGATCCACCCCGCGACCCACCCGCGACCGACCCGCGACCCACCCGCGACCCACCCGCGACCCACCCGCCACCCACCCGCGACCCGGCCCGCGACCCACCCGCCGCGACCCACCGTCGACCCACCCGCGACCCACCTGCGACCCAACCCGCGACCCACCTACATTGTTAAAAAAACAACCGGCGCCAGCGGCGGGCTCGATGTATAGGTTGAAAAGTTGTGTGCCTGCGGCGGGTTTCTTCGAATCCTCGCAGACTGCCGACGTCTGCCGCCCCCTCACTCTTATCCGCAACTGCGGGGTGCTACCTACTTTTTTGGGCCAGAGCAGCTCGACCAAACTTGCCACAGCAAGTACACCTCCAAACCTTGAATGCTCCCAGCTCGCTGGATCCAATGTTGCATCCGGCGCCTCGTCCTGCTGTGATGCAAACCTTCTGGAACCCAACTGTCAAGAAGGGTTCTCGCGGGGATGCATACACTTACCGACGCCCTGCTGATCTCTGTCCGTAGCGCTGGTCTACCATGCCTATGTGCCAAATTATGCCAACCTCGTTTCGCCATGTTCTTGATATTCGTATCATGCTCGGCTGAGGGAAACCGATGTTCCTGAATCAGCACGACTCCCAGCGAAAAACCTTGCTAGACAATTTTCCACTGACGTCCACTATTTTGCATTGACGCCTACGATGGAAATGCTCCGAATATCCATATTATTTTGGTTGCGACCGTTGGACGCACTCGACGCCCTGTCTTTGGCGCCGTCTGAACTCGAAGGAGGCTGGACAACCCGGCTAGACCCGCCTGGCAATGCGCACCGCCTAGCTGTCTCTACATTGTCCACTCGGACGCTGTCAGACCCGCCAGGCCATGCGCACCGCCAGGCTGTCTCTGCACTGTCATTTCCCTTCTCCCTTGTTTCATCACCTTCCCCCTTGGGAAACGCAGCGCCCTCTGCGCTGGAAAGATCACCACCTGCACTGGCACCTCCACCCACGATGGAAGTAAACCAACCTGCACTGGACATATCAGCACGTGCGCTGGCCCATCCACTCACTCACGTTGGAAATCGTACCACCTGCATTGGAAATATCACCGCCTGTACCGGTCTGAGTACCACTCACGTTGGAATGCTGCCGGGACCACCCACGATGGAAATCGGATCACCTTGATACCTTCTCACGAACTGGCGTAGCAGGTGATTCCTGCGACGCGCTCGCTGCTTGCTCCACTTTCGGTTCCCCTCCTGCACCACCTGTTGCTGGTTTTCCTAGATGTGTCTGTCTTTGATTGCCTTCCAACAATTCCTTCTGCTCTGCGTGTTCCTGTCCACTCGTGTCTTCCGAAACGAAAACATGTAGATTGCTGATCCCTTGAACGCCTCCCTGACATTCGCTATCGTCTTCTCTGCTGCATGCTCCTCCTCCCCAGACAACACGCAAACATCACTGGCTCCAAACGGGTCGCCTGGGTTGGTGTCCAAGGAATCCCTGCTCCTTCGCCTCCAACCGCGAACGTGCCCACAGCTGCGGCCGGGGCTTGGGCCCCCGAAGCACCCATGTGCAGCACCCGAGTGGCCGCCCCGCATACCTCTTCCTGCTCCCCCAGCTTGTCGCTGGTAATTTGACCTGCCCGGCGTGGTAGGAGACTTGGGCCCTGAGCTCCCCGTGCGACTGAGCATGGTGGCCCCACAACGCCTCCCGACGGGTCTTCTGCTTGTGAGCTTTGCCTGCCTTCCCCTGCAGTGATGACTCCGCCGATCCCGACTTTGACTTGAGCTGATCGAGCTGCTTATGGCACGTCTGCGCCATTTGCACATCGCCCGTGTTGCCATGGATCGACACCAGCTGCACGAGATCCTGCTCACATAGCTCATGTTGGTCACACACGAAGGGGCTGGCATTGAGCAAAGATGAGCCGCCTCCGAAACAAACGGCTGCCGAGTGACCACTTCCCCCCTCCTCCCCCTTTCCTTGCTCCTTCTTTTCCTCCCTCCCTCCGCCTTCCCCTCCCCTCTGCTGTCCCTCCTTTGTTCCTCCTCCCCTCTCCAGGAGGAAGAGCGAGAGCACCTCCCCCCCCTTCTCCGCCAATCTCCCTCGTCATGCTCCTGCCTCTCCCCTTGCTCCTTCCACTACGGCTTCTGCTGCCGCTCCTCCTCCGAGGCTTCTTCATTCGCGCTCTACTGTTATCTCGTCGGGTGAGTGTCCGTGTCAACTCCACGCCCCAACCCCCTGTCACCGCAGCTGCGTCGAGTTCATCTGGTTGGTGCGTAACGTGAGCTGGCTTAGC